CCCAATACACTTGAAAAATATGTCGTATTCTATATATTTATCTCATAGACTGTTTGGGCTAGTTTAATGATGATAATCCGACACTGGTTGCATCGCACGGCTTGAAGGTCGTTTTACCACACAAGAGAGTGCTGTCGCATCGCACCTGAGCGCAACTATGTTCAGATTGAGAAAAAGAAAAAAAAAAGCAATATGACGTTGGCGCGAAAAGTGATGACGGGTTGTTAGCAGCATACGCTCTATTTTATGTATTTATTTTATAATAAAGGACATATAAAGTGAAATTCATAGTTTGCTACGACGTGGTTTTGTGTGCAACTTGTTATATTTCATAATAAGACTAAATTTCTATTAATGGAAAAACTGATATGTGTGTCATGGACATGTGAAGTAACCGACATCACGCCACCCTATTCAAATACAACATTTGTGCGTGCTCCGGAGCCCGTGAGGATCCTTAGCTGCGCCGTGGAGAAAGACAGCAAACCCAGGAGGCAGGTGAACCAGCACATCAAAGAGGTACAATTAATTTAAGTTGTTGCGAACGGCATACCGGTCTAGGAAAGTCATTGTTAACCGCCCTCTCTGCCGACCCTTGGACTTTTAGTTTTTCGCCCATACATAGACATTTATACATATATTTTTTTTCCTTTTTCATTAAGTAGGTTGATTAAATTGTATTATTTCACCTCTTTCATTGTGACTAGCCACCCATAATCGACATTGATATTTCTTCTTGCGTACATTCTATCTGTCTCGAGCGTTCGCCTTTCATACTCCTTGTTACATAATTTATATTTTTCTATATTGTAAATATATGTACATAGACAATGTTTGTCGTTTCTATTTACCCTGAATAACTACACATTGTCGTTTCTGCAAACTAAGGTGTAATATTCTGTACGCTGTAATTTTACTAATATATTCTAATAATACATAAAGTCGAAACAGTTATGCAAGAACTACTTGGAGGTATACAGGCGAGTTTTATACAAAAGTTTCCTTTGATAATTTATTTACAATAATATTTAAAAAATCTACATAACAGTAAGCGTACCAAAAACGTCGAACATTTGAGAAATATTAAAAATAATTCTGTAACTTTAAAATGGAAATGAAATAAAAATGCCGGGACCATAGAATAGGCCACCCCTTCCTTTCCCGTGGGTGTCGTAAGAGCCGACTAAGGGAGGGCGAGGGATGGACAGCAGCGTCCCTCTTAAAATACCTCTAAAGCCTGACTGCAGTTACCAATCCTCCTGCCAAGCGCGTGAACTACTGGCAAAACCTCCCAAGTGATGATGATGAAAATGGAAACCAAATTTAAATTATTGTAATCTATTTTTTTAGTTTTTTTTCTTTTAATGGATGATAATGGAATGGTAACCCCACCCGCGCTATCGGTATATACAGGCGGGGCAACAGTGAAGGATAATAGGTGAGGATGAAGTAGGTCAGTTAGCCCATCGTGACGAATTCAACAAGAATTGTTCACGATGGTTCCCAGGGGGAACCACGTGGAGGTCGACCTAATAAGGCATATTGCTAGCAATGGGCCTGTCAAACTCCATTGCTTATATTTTTAGTTTTGATTTTATATTTTCTATTGATAATGAATCAATAGAAAAGGGTTCAAATTTAAGATATTGTCCTTTGTAATTGTAACAAATAATGTTGAATGTTAAATCGTAGCCAGTGGCAAAATGGAAAGCAAATTCAGTGTATATTGATTTTGGTGTGTGTAAGTAATTATGCAAGCACGTGACTGCGAATGAATTCCGTCAGTAATTTCACCCATTGCCTTATAATTAAACAATAAACTCATAGTGTCTCAGTGTATACTGAATATTTGCAATATTAATATTTAGTATGTATTTACAAAGACAATTGCATGGTAGTGAAACGTGTTATTTAAATTAAATAATTTGCATACAACTTGCAGTAAATTAGATATTATGTATATTAATTTTAAACTGGACAATTTTCTTCAAAGAATATAATAGAAAAATTAGAATAAATATATGTAAACTATAACTTATAAACTAAAAAACAAAACAAATGAAATCACGTTTACATTTTAATGTAATAACTAATACAGCCCGCGTTCTGCAGGTTGAAGTGCGCAGTCAGGCTTGCAGTCGCATCACAGCCGCTCAAGACTAACGGTTCGGAATGGTCCCGAAACTAGTCGTGCTTTCTTCACTAAATTACACGTGAGTGAAACTGGTAGTTATTAAATTAAAATATACGAAACATTTAACAATAAAATATTTACATTTATTTCTGAGCAATCAAAGACAGGGTTATTGCATAAAAAAAAAATTATAGAAATTATTTCCTCCAGAAATTATGCTTCATATTTCATTTGACCTACGTTTAATTTAAATCTTCACATTTTTTTTACAAATTTGATTCAGCAGTCCCGAATTTTTAGTATAGGAGTATTAATTTTGAAATGTATTCGTATATTAAATACAACAATATTTTTTTTAATGTATCATAAATGGTTACATCAGACAGATCAAGAAAAGTTGGTGTTGTGTCGTATCAAGAGGTGAAGAGACTCGCAAAAAATCGTAGTAAGTAGCAAGAACTGCGCCGATAAGAGTGCAGCTCTTAAATAGGATAAGATAGGATCATAAATGATAGAAAGATCGTGTTAGTGACCTGTATGATAACTATTGCATACAATTGTGTAAAAAATATGGTGTCCCTACCATTTTCTAAATTATTATTTTATAATATAAAAATCTCTTTAATGCATGTAAAATGGTACATGGAATATTTATTTATTTATTCTTTATTGCACAATAAAACTTTGTACAAATGGCGAGCTTAATATCATATGCCATAGAGAATGCTCTACCATATAATGTTAATATACCAGAATGCATCTTTCAATGATCTCGCGAGTGTGAACACCGCCTTATCAGGCTCAATAACTTAAATAATTACGTGGGTAAGTAATTAATTATGAATCAAAGGGTTAGCTATGGAACATGATCAATAAACGAGGTTTGCATTTAAAATATCTAAACATAATTAATTTATTTATCAAACAAAACAGATCCCCTCCAATAATTTTTGTAAAATAATTAATAAGCGAAATAGCAAACTAGAATCTAATGATTTAAAATCTATTTATATTGTTTAAAATTGGTTAAATATGAAAATTAGTTTGTTAACTTCTTAGCATGTGAATGGCTCGACCGATAGTCAAATGGGTTAAATATGAATGGCTCCACCGATAGTCACAAACACATTGGCTCTATAAAAAGATTGATCCTTTAGCACAATTATGTAAATGAAACCACAGGTATGAAGTAATCTGTATGAATATTATAAAGAGGAAAGATTTGATTTATTGTTTGTTTGTTTGTAATGGATTAACTCAAAAACTACTCAATCGATTTTAAAAATTCTTACATCTATAGATAGCTGATTTATCAGCGAGTACCATAGGATATTATAGATTATCTTTTTTCCTCAATAAGATAATAATAATAAACTTATTATAAATACAACATTATTTTCGATTTTTTTTTGTAAGCAACATAGAATGGCAAACAAACTGACGGCCCACCTGATGGAAAATGGTAACCGTCGCCTATAGACATGAACAGTACCATGAACATAACAGAGTGTACTGTTTCGCCCATGATACCCCTCATGCGTTGCCATTCTTGAGAACTCAGATGTTATTCCTCTATACCCAGTAAATTCACGCTATATCCCATCCTTCAAACCGAAACACAGACATGCAAACACAACAAATTTTATTTAGCCGTGCAAAGCTGGGCCAATTCGCAAGTATTTTATAAATAAAATAAAAATAAATTTAATTTGCCTTATGTTTAAATAAAATATATTCATAATAATGTGTATCTTTATAAGATAAGCAGTCAAGTGTGAAGTAGACGGAAAGCTTTCCGGATCAGCATTATTAGTCAAACATAATTAATCATGTGTGTTAAATTTTGAAGCATTTAATTAAAAACATGCTAAAGTTATACAATTTAGGTATAAATACAAACAAAATATTGCCTTCTAATATCAAGTCCATAAATATAAATTATATTATGCATTTATTTAATTATATTAATTTAATTGTATCAGCCGCAAATTGTCCTCTGCTAAATATAGTCTTCCCCTTAAGGGAGGGTTTTGCCAGTAGATTCCACAATTGGCAGGCGGGTTGGCAACCGCAGTTTGGCTTTTGATGATATTTTAAGAGGGACGCTTGTGCCTATCCCTCTACCATGAGCTTTCTTAGTCGCTTCTTACGACACACACTGAAAAGAAAGGGGTGGCCTATTCTATGCTGAAATCTTCACGGAAAATAAAAAATTTCTTAAAAGCGTTCATAACTTTTACACTACCTAAGTATGGTAAAATCACAATTTTGCGTGATGCAAATGATGCAATGCACAATTGAAAACTCATAAATTATTTTTAAAAATAATTTATGAGTTTTCAATATTTCTGACTAATTATTAAAAAAATACTCTGTCAACGAATTAATGATTGAATCATCATTATCATTATATCAATCTTTAACTGTTCACTGCTGAACATAATCTTGGGAGGTTCTGCCAGCAGTTGCCATATTTGACAAGAGAATTGGCGACCGCAGTGAGGCTATGGAGATGTTTTAAAAGGATCGCTGCTGCCCATCCTTCGCCCTTCCTTAGTCGCCTCTTACGACACCCACGGGAAAATAGGGGCGGCCTATTCTATGCCGGGACTACTCGGCTAGAATTGTAATTATCTTTATACAATTAATAATTATTATTTAGTTGCTTGGAATATCAAATATTAAAAAATAAAAACCATATAAAGCTCAACTGGAAAAAAATTACAAGAAATAGATTACAAAGATAAAGCGATAAGAGTCTTTATCGTTTAAAGTGATCTCTTGCAGACAACTGAATGAAATATAACAATAAAAAAATCGCATTATTAATAAATATTTTATTATAATCTATAATATAACTGTCCTTACTATTTCATCCCATTTACTATGAAAATAAAAATTAAAAGATAGTTATACTAACTAATGTTATTATTTTAAGCATTTATTACACAATTAAATGGTCAATAAATAAAATAATTAGAAATAAAATTGATTGACCATATGCACAATAAATACTTTTATTCTAATAGAAGAGAACAAAGCTGCGGGATACAACTAGTACAATATAACTATAATAAGCATGTACCTACTTTAAAAATTTATTTTAACAATAATTCAGATTGCACGCCTCAGTAAATAGACCTAACATCATCTGTGTGACTTCATCGCCTTGCTCATAAATCCTATCTGGGGGCCAGTGAAAACTCTTGCCTCGTAGCTCGTATGTGTACACAAGGGGCGTACCAGTAGCATGTCGTACCCAATCCATACTCCCTCCTGAGGCTTTATCTGCATTGAAAATTACATAAATTAACGAGATCTGATCGTTTGCTTGCGTATCTTACAAAGTATTCGTGCTTTAACCGCTGTTACCTGTGCTTGCATTATAGACTTTTTATTACATACTATATACTTTAGAAAGTAGGATTTGCATAGTTTTGTTTTTTTGGTTAATAATGGAATTACAACCCCACCTGCGCTATCGGTACACTGGCGGGGCACCAGTGAGGGATGATGAGAGAAGACGACGTAAGTTAATTAGCCCATCGTGACAAATTCAACAATGAATCAATCACGATGGTTTCCAGGGAGAACCGCGAGGTCTACCTGATAGGGTATATTGCTATTAATAGGATTGCTAATCTCCATTACTAACAATCCGTTTCCCCCCGGGTTTGCATAGTTGTGATTATTTATTTTCACATGCGTGTATATTTATTAACCATTCATTATCCACTGTTGAACTTATACCTCTTTCTATTGTTTGGGGTGTTGCCATTTTATTTTATTTAAAGAATAATACAAAAAAAAATATGTATATTACACTGTTTTTGAATTGAAAGGCTTTATTACATGTTACGGAGGTATAATACTATAGTCTTTAGGAATGGTATGGGCATCACAGTGTATTCGACTCCAGCAAAAAAAAAAAAAACAATTAAATAGGTCTTAGATTTTTATGTAAACAGTTCTGACACTTGAAGTGATGGAAAATAGTCTCATTCGTCTTACTTAACTCACTGGTTTCCCGTCAATGTATACGGATAGCCGGAGTTACCATTGCATTATGATACGTTAAAAAAAACAACAACTATAGACATGAACACCACCATGGACATCACACAATATCCTGTAATGTCTACCATAGATATTGTGATGAGTTTCCATTCTTAAAAACGAAGAATTAATATACTTCAGTACTCTATAATTTTACCGCCATATCCCACTTTTAAAACACAAATACAGCTCAGCAAGAACAGCTACTTAATGGCAGAAATGTAAGTGGGACAGAGATACCCAAGCTGATGACTTTTGTACAAAGTTTCCCTCTGGTAAAATTGTCACTAATGGTTTATTTAAGTTAGATTGACTTACAAAGAATTTCAGCTGCCGTTGCGGGCCCATCATATTTCTCCCCGTTAACCTTGTAACCATATTCTAAAGAGGTTTTGCCGATTTTTACCTGTAAAAACATATAATCTTTCATGTATTATGTAAATAAGGAATTTAAAATATACATATATATATTCACATAATTGTACGTATACATATTTCTGTATGTATTTAAAAAACGAACAGAGTTGTGTTTCATGCCATTTCATTTCGTGCCAAACATTTTATAATTACTCTTCTCCATCCAAAGGTTGCCTGAAAGAGATTGCTTTTAGCGATAAGGCTGCCCATTGTTTTCTTAATGTATTATTTTCTTGTAATTGTTTGTATTTATAATAAGTTTACTATTGTAATCTTATAGAGGAAACAATAAAGAGTATCTATTTAAAATAAGAAAATAACACAAAAAAAAAATCAGTCACATAAACGGTCTCATTAAACATATATTAAAATAAACTATAATTTTAAATGAAGCGTGTATTTGTAACTAAATAACACAAAAATTGGTTACTTTATTTACTTTCATCATGTACTCTGCAAATACGTGATTTGGGAATGAACTGAAATTATAATGTACTATGAAAATATTAAGCTTATGAAAAATGTTTGGCTATAAAGTATTGTGGATACTATAAAATACTAAGCAACGAAAATTTGCAGAAATAACCCAGAATATCCATACCCAAATCAAATCAAATAAAACCGGTCAGGTGTGAGTTAAACTCATACGCCGAGAGTTCCGTACATAGACAAATAAGTAATAAAATTACCTTCAAGCTGAAACACAGCCATGCAAACACAAGTGCTTCATGGTAGAAACAAGAATGGTGGCCACCTCTGTCCCAAAAGCAAATGACTTTTGTACAAAGTCTACCTCTGATAAAATTTTAAAAAATAAAAAAAATTACCAAATCATCATAATTATCGATATGTTCCACTGAATCGGAGTACGGAACCAGCAGCATTTGGGCGTCAGCGTGGAACGCGACATAAGCCAGTAGATTGTCCAAATCCTGAATATATTCAGATAAAGTCCTGGTTTCCTTCTCTGAGAATGGTTCTGATCCACCGTAGGTTTGGTAGTTGCAAGGATTACTGGTTGCGCCATTTTCTTAAAAAATAAATTACGTTGCTAAGGAACATCATCATAACAGCCTTTACTGTCCATTGCTGAACATAAACCTCCCCCTTGGGAGTTTTGCCAGTAGTGTTCACGCTAGGCAAACAGATTGGCAACTGCAATTAGGCTTTAGAGATGTTTTAATAGGAACGCTGTTGTGCATTCTTCGCTCTCCCTTAATCGCCTCTTACAACATCCACGAGAAAGGAAGTGGTGGCCTATTTTGTGCCGGGGCCCTATATATATATATATATATATATATATATATATATATATATATATATATATATATATATATATATATATATATATATATGATCCCGGTTATAGTAATATATGTATATTAAAAAGTGGTGACAACGCTTCACTGAGTTTACTCCCGATTATTTGCTGCTCTAAACGTCTTTAAATAAGTGGAGGTTCTCAGGTCGACAGTATTTTATGTGTATGTTATATCTTGATCCAATTCTGGACGTATTTTAAAATATTTTTTTTTTTTTTTTTATGTTAACCAGTTTGGAAAATTCTTTTTTATCGAATGGATATACTTACAGATTGGTCCCATAGAAATTTTATCAAAATAGGTTTAGAAATGTAGTTTTTAAGCCAAAATAACCGGTTTTACCACATTTCAGAATAGATTCTTTTCTGAGGAACACAATCTTAATTATGATATATCTATTTTATAGTCAATTGAATTTACTCCCACATGCTCCCATAAAAATATAGAGATGATTGAAACTAATTTATCTTTGTTTATAAAAAATAACCTTAATTTATTTAAAACTTACTTAACCAATTGTAATCCCAATTACGATTGGGATCTGCACCGTAGCAGAAGAATGTGGACTTTGAACGAGTCTTCCTCCACATACGATCCTTAAATATGAAAAATATTAAAAAAAAAACCAAACAAGCATTTTTTTTATACAACTTAGAATGGCAAACAAGCTTACGGCCTACCTGATGGAAAGTGGTAACCGTCGCCTATAGATATGAGCAGTACTACGGACATAACAGAGTATACTGTTTTGCCCATGATACCCCCCATGCGTTGCCATTCCTGAGGACTCAGGTGTTATTCCTCTGTACCCTGTAAATTCACACCATATCCCATCCTTCAAACCGAAACACAGCAATGCAAATACAACTGCTTCACGGTAGAAACACGAATGGGACAGAGGTACTCAAGCAATCGACATTTGTACAAAGTCTCCCTCTGGAGATTTGGCATATATAAGCATATATGCGTATATATGTCGTATTCTTACAACTGGTGTGTACAATAAAGAATAAAATAAATAAAAATAAATAAATAAGTACTTTCATTGTTTATGTTGTGACTTCTTGATGAAACCTCATTTTATTACAGTAATATTATTGAAACTACTTGTATTTTGTTCCACTCTCAAGATAGAAAAGACAGTGGAACAAAGTAATTAATAATAATAAAGATTTTTTGCATATAAAAATATAGAACCATGGGCTACAGTAATTCCAAAGTTAAATATATAAGTATAAAATATAACATTAGGCCCAGCAAATTAGTGTCTAAACTAGGCCTAGCCTGTATCTTAGACACACACCAATGCCTTTAATGAAATACATATTTTCGGGCAAAGTTACGAGTATATAGTGAACAAACTTATATGTTCTAACTTTTTTTTTAATTCGACTAAGATAGAGTGTTAAAAGTTTACGCTTTTGTGGAAACTGCCAAATAGGTAGTTTATCTTATATAACTAATAAAAAATGCAATAAATACAAGTAAATTAATGACTAAATAACTAGAGCTCACGAGCATGATGGATGAGACAGCTCTTGAGTTCAACTAAATTTTAGAAATCCTAACAACTCAGTTTACCACGCCGTCACGTCTTATCTTAACATTTTAATGACCACGAATAGAGTAGGTAATTAAGCAATTCTTAAGTAGACGATAAGCGACTTTGTTACAACTAGTTAATAGTCATAATTATACAATACGAGAAAACACGACAATCCAAAGAACCTTCGATGACTGACTGATGAAACTCAGATTATATAGATAGCGAATCTCCATAGAAATGCTTCGAAAAAAGCGGCTCAACTTTTTCATAGAATTTTGCGTGTTTAAATAGTTATGAGTGATTCCTTTATAACTTCTATATTTTTATTTGTTTTATAATTTCTGCATATTTTTATTACGTAAAATATAATTTTATTTATTTAGTAATTAAATATAGAGACTTCAGGAAAAATTACGTGCGTAAGTATATAGAACACTAATAGAAGTAAGTACAAGTCAGCCAATTTGACAATTAGCTGACAAAAAGTTGAGCCGTTTTTGAGACTCGATACTCTATCTATATAATCTAAGGTAATGATATTATTGTATTAATGCAAGTTTCAGATTATACTCAAACATAATTTATAACATTATATTATATGTGAATAAATAATTGAGTGATTCGACTTTTTGTCTTAAGCGTAAATAATAAGGCACAATATTAAATAAAAATAGTATACATAATTAATTCCATACCCATGTAAAACTATAATGATACCCATCAGGATTGACGGTAGGGAATATTTGCCATTCAAACTGATTTCTCATAGCCGTAATTTTAGGATCGGTGCTCGTCAGAAGCTGATTTATAAAATATGTGGTTGTGGCTGGAGTTATCCATTCTCTTGCATGTATTCCTATAAAAAAAATATAAGTGTCAATTTTCCCGCCATTTCTATAGTGACATAGACGTGGTACAATGCACTATATTTTAGTATCCAGTAAGTGATCGTAGATTAAGAATATTGAAATAGGAATTCATCTGAAGCGTACAGGAACGTTAATTTATTCTTAATCTATGCTAATTCCGATACTATCATCTAAAACATAAAGTTACATCTCCTACGAAAATTCTCATATAGAAGCTGTAGAAAACATTTATGTACAATTTCTACATTACTCTATTTTCATAAGTAGATCAAGAAACTGCCTTTGATACAACTTTGTTAAAGGGGCATATGCTTCTAAACATTTATTACTAATAACTGTGAGTGAAATATAGTTCCGCATTTGTATATATTGTCAAATGTATATTTAATACCAAGAGTTTAATATCTCCATCTTCAAATTAATAATCGTTTCTTAATTGAATTGTATTATTTCGACTTAGATTGTATAGATATACATAAATAAAATGTTTACATACAAATGCTTCGCTAAAAATAGGTAAACTTTTTATTAATGTTGCGTGTATAGGGTTACCATAATATACACTCATTTTATATATTACATCGTCATAGTCGTAGAATACTGACGGATTTAATTACTTTATTACATATATAGATCCGCCAATATTCTATGATTATGACGATATATAAATAGAGCATCGAGCCTCAAAAATTGGTCAACTTTTTGGCAGCTAATTGTCAAATTAGCTCTTTCTTATTAATGTTTTATATATTTACGCATACAATGTATCTTGATGTATCTATTTAATTATTTAATAAATGAAATGAGTGTTTGCGCATTAAAAAGGTGCAGAATTTATAAGAAAAAATAAAAGTAGAAGTTATAAAGGAATCACTCATAACTATTTATTATGCAAAATTGTATAAAAAAGTTGACCCGCGTTTATCGATGCGTTTGTATGGAGACACTCCATCTATATAATCTAAAAATATACATTTATTATTAAATATATATGTAAAAGTATATTCTAAAATTAAATTAAAAAATAAAAACGATAAAAAATCTTATAATACATTTGAAAAAATTAGATAAACAGTCCATAATGATTCGTAATGATATTTATTTTACTGAGTAGGTACTTTGATTTATATTTAAATATAAACATAAAATATGTTTTTGTTTTTTTTTTATAATTGAAAATGGCCGCCATTATAATTAATACATATTCATTTGTAAGCGATACTTGTATTTGTATAATTATATAATTAACATATTTCTATTTTTTTTCGGGAATTATTTTGGGAATTATTAATCTAATTATATATATCTAATTATATATATATATATATATATATATATATATATATATATATATATATATATATATGTATATATATATGATATGCTTTTGTGTACCCATGCGCCACAAGCCATTTTCAATAAAAAAGAATTCGTTAATACAATTGCAAATTGGAAACGAGCTACGTCGTAACGTTATTTAAAGACATGAACAGAGCTATGATGTTACAGAATACACTGTGACGCCTATGTCGTTTATTGCTATTCCTGGCGATATGTTATGCATCCGTACCTCATTATCACATTGTTACATCCTACCATTCAGACCGAAACTTAGCCATACAGGCACACTTGCTTAACAACATAAACGCACGAGGAGTATCATGGGCGACACAGTATAATACTACTACTAATAATACTCTATTATGTGTCTATTATTGTTCATGTCTGTCTATAGGCATCACCACATTCCATCAGGTGAACCGTAAGCTTGTTTGCTATTCTAATTTGCATAAAAAAATAAACCAGAGGGAGACTTTGTACAAAAGTCGATTGCTTGAGTACCTCTGTCCCATTCGTGTTTCAACCTTAAAGCAGTTGTGTTTGCATGGCTGTGTTTCGGTCTGAAGGGTGGGATACGGCGTGATTTTACTGGGTACAGACGAATAATACCTGAGTCCTCAGGAATGGCAACGCATGGGGGGTATCATGGGCGAAACATTATACTCTGTTATGTCCATGGTACTGCTCATGTCTATAGGCGACGGTTACCACTTTCTATCAGGTGGACCGTCAGCTTGTTTGCCATTCTAAGTTGCATAAAAAAATAAACATGGGTGGGACAGAGGTATTCTACAGGGGCTATTATACAAAGTCTCCTATTTATTAAAACAAGCCTAATAATAATATGTTATCGTATATAATCTATAAATATGTAGGTATATATATTTTTTTTTTAATGGATGATAATGAAATGGTAGCCCCGTCTGCGCTATTGGTATACGCTGGCGGGACACCAGTGAGGGATGATAGATGAGGGTGAAGCAGGTCAGTTAGCCCATCGTAACAAATTCAACAATAAACCAATCACGATGGTTTCCAGGGGGAACCGCGAGGAGGTCGACCTGATAGGGTTTATTGCTAGCAATAGGGTTGCTAATCCCCATTACTAACAATCCCTTCCCCCTGTAGGTATATTTGTATATGTATATTTGTATTTGTATGTATGTATTTTTATGTAATATTTGTTTAATGTATTCATGTATGTATGTTTATATAATCATAATGTGCAGTAGTTCTCTATTGTATGTGTTGTAATTTTTTTCACCGCATAATAAAATTTCTGTTTTGCCAAAGGTTGACTGGGAGAGAATGCTATATAGTATTAAGTCCGCCTTTTGTACCAGACATTTTTTGTAATGTGGTCAATAAAGAATAAATAAATAAATAAATAAAATAAAATAATAAAAACACTAAACTTACATTACCTGATTCAATAAATACAATTTTTTTCGGTTCATCCTTTTCAGTGGGTGTGTTAATTCGTAACCCAACTATTTGTCTGCCCTCGTAACTCTCACCACCGACCACTAATTGTGTCCAATTTGAATATTCTTTACTTACATTTCCAAGGTATTCATATATCTGAAAATGTGATCATTAAAAATGATTAAATTTTATTATAATTAATTTTAAACAAGATATAACCGTGTTTCAAGGTATATTGTGTAGTCCCGGCATAGAATGTGCCATCTTTTCCTTTCCCGTGGGTGTCGTAAGAGGCGACGAAGGGTATTTAATGGTCGACAGATCGGTAACAGCGTTCCTCTTAAAACATCACCAAAGATTACTACGGTTGCCAATCCGCCTGCCAAACGTGGCAACTACTGGTAAAGCCCCTCTATAACAGGAGGTCTTTGTTCAGCAATGGACAGTTAAATGCTGAAATGATGATGATGGTGATAACCGTGTTTGGTGGGGGGGAAAGGGATTGTTAGTAATGTAGACTGAGAATCCCATTGCTAGCAATATACCCAACTAGGTGGACCTCCTCGCGGTTCTCCCTGGAAACTATCATGGTTAATTCCTGATGAATTCATCATGATGGGCTAACTGGCCTGTTTTCATTCTCATCTATCACCCTTAACTGGTGCTCCGCCAGCGTATCCCGTTAGCGCAGGTGGGGTTACCATACCATTTTCACCCATTAAAAAACCGTGTTCGGTGACGCAGTAAGAACAAAATATATCACTCTCACCATTCCTTTTCATCCCCAAAAAAAAAAAAAAACAGTCGACTAAATGACTAAGAGTAATGTGTTTTTTTAAGAGATGAAAATGAAATGGTAATCCCGTTTACGCTATTAGTATACGCTGGCAGAGCACCAGCACAGTATAAGTAATAGTACTAAAGTACACTATACTCGGCTCCCTGCCGCCCGCTGCGATCTGACCTCACCCCCTCTCAAAACGCGTCAGCTTCCAAACTATTTTCTCGCGCTGATCGTAACTACAGACGCACACATTGTCACCTGCACGAGTAAAAGACGTTACTTGTTTCTGTAGTTGTGACAAATATTGATCGTGGCATTTTTGTTAGTGGTAACTGGTGAAAATTCATCACGATGGGGGGGGGAGAGAAAGGGATTGTTAGTAATGGGGTCTTTATGGGGTCGTTATGGGGCCCCGTTGCTAGCAATTGACCCTCTCAGGTCGATCTTCACGCGGTTTCCCCTGGAAACGATCATGGTTAATTCTTGTCGAATTCATCATGGTGGGCCAACTGACCTGCATTCATTCTCACCTATCATCTTCCACTGCCTCGTCGGTGTATACTGACAGCGCTGGCGGGTTTACCATTCCATTTTTATCTATTAAAAAAAATTCATAACAATAAGTCAACTGATTTAAATCAAATCAAGTCAGTTTCACCAGGAATCAATTATAGTGGTTTCCGGAGAGGACTGCGTAAATATCGACCTTACCCTCCCTTTTCAGGAGAGGGGAAGGGATTATTAGTAATGCGGACTTTTTTTTATTGGATGAAAATGGAATGGTAACCCCGCCTGCGCTAACGAGGTACGCTGGCGGGGCACCAGTGACGGGTGATTGATGAGAATGAAAACAGGCCAGTTAGCCCATCATGATGAATTCATCTGGAATTAATCATGATAGTTTCCAGGGGGAACTACGAGGAGGTCGACCTGGTAGGGTATATTGCTAGCAATGGGATTCTTAGTCTCCATTACTAACAATCCCTTTCCCCCAGTAATGCGGACTACCAGTCGCATTACTAGCAATAAAAACTGTCAAATCGACCTTAGGATGTAATACACATACTAAGTTGCTTAGTCAATGGGGTAATAGTGAGCTAATATCCTCTTCTAATTAGAAAACACGTATACCTAGTAGAGAACGTGAATGAATGGCTTGTAAGCGACATAAACGTGAAGATAGAGAGAGACGGTAAGTTGTAACCTGCGAGTTTGCCCAATCCTATACATTAATCTATGTGGTCCTGTCTGTACAAAATTTCATTTATCTTTTTAGCTATTTAAGAGAATTGATTAATAAACATTCATTTTTTTAAACCACAAAGGTGTCAGACAAACATACAGCCCGTCTGATGGTAAACGGTCACTGTAGCATGGACGCCTGCTACACTAGGGGTGTCGCGTGCGTGTTGCCGACCCTAAAGAAACCTTAATATATCTTTTTTGAAGAACCCCATATCGTCGTCTGTATGGGAAAACCTCGACAGGCAGCTCATTCCACAGCCTGAGCGTTCGCTGGAGAAAATTTCTTTGAAACCGCACTGTATTTATTTATTTATTTAAAAGAACACCAACAGCATATTGCATTATAACATATATAACAAACAATAAATACAATACAATATTAGTGCACATGCCTATTATAGGTATTCACAGCATTTACTTTAACATAGCTATACAGTACGAGAAAATGAAGTAACAATTATAATGAATTATAATTGTTACTTTTGTACGTGATCATTTAGGTGCAAGCGTGTGAAAATGAATCCCCTGTCGATGGCGAGCGGTGCGATGATAAAAGTAAAATGTTTTATTTTAAATAATAAAAATAATATTTTTTCTCTGAATTAATACTTTTTTTTTTGTTTGTTATTTTATTGAACAGATTTAGTTATTGTAAAATTAGTTTGAACAAAGAATCTGTTTCTTGAAATTTTAGTATATAAAGCTTAGTTTATATCTTTCAATCATTCAATACATTTATAAATTGTTTTCAATCAGTAAAATTAAAGGTTTCATATAGGTATGAATCCCAATAGTTGGAATACAAACAGCGGTCTGTTGTTGCCCGCAACAAAACAAACAACGAATACTGAATTAGCCTCGAAATATCATTGTTACTTATGTAGGTAAACACGAGTAAGTGAAAATAACAATGAAATGTTTACATAGAAATGATCAATGAGATTTTACGAACAAGTTTATTTAAGTCCCAATCAAATAATGGCACTAAAATAAGCACTTTTTTAATATCTGAAAATAGAATGGCAACCCCGCCTACGCTATCAATATATTGATAGCGTAGGCCTATTTTATTGGCCAGCGTATACGCTGAGGATAAAATAGGTCATTTGGCCAATCGTGAAGATTTTGACAAGAATTACCCACGATGATTCCTAGAGGGAATCGCGTGGAGGTCGATAGGTCGATCTGTAGGGTATGTTACTAGCAATAGGACTGTTAGAACCCATTACTAACAAATCGTTCCCGCTAAAATAAGCATGTTAGTTTCCCCTTCCAAGAACCGACAACCGATGGGGAAGAAAAGTTCTTGAGAGGCGACCTCGTATGGACAAACGCAGTGTAGGACGACCCCCACTAGATGAAGTGATCTCAAATGCATTGCAGGGAGTCAGTAGATGCAGGTAGTTCAGTACCGTTCCTTGTGGCAGTCTATGGGGAGGCCTATGTTCAGCAGTGGACAGATAATGGCTAAGATGATGATGATAATAATGATGATGATGATGAAACACGTCGACCTCACTCCAATTGGACTTTTATTTGTTTCTAATTCAAAGATTTTAAACAGTAACTTCGTTTAACATACCTCAGTACACATCTATGTGAGATAAGCAAATCTATGGAAACTAAATTATTTGAGTTCACACTGAAGACTAAAAATAAACGCAAGATATAATAACTAGAGTATTACGTTATATAGGGGCCTATATTGTCCCTCGTGCAAAGAGCGACTCTTGTCTCAAATTGTCACCTCTCTCTCATAATTCAGTTAACTTAACCACACATTTCGTTTACTTTAGTTCTGTAATTCGTAGTTTTAAATTACAGAGCTTAGCATAGTTAAGATGTGCTAAGTTACGTTCGCTTAGTTTAACTGCCATTATGACTTTTTTGTTTATTTAATTATTTATTGCGCCATAAATATAAAAATATATTTAATATACAATGACAATTAAACAATTCAAGTGAAATACAGTAATATAAATTACAGATTAAAATATAAACATACAGGTGACTTGTGCTTTATGTTGTACACTTAATTATATCATTTTAATAATTTAATAACTTATGTACTAAGACACACTCACATATGTGTATATAGATTTTGAATCGTGTTAACTTACATCATCGACATCGTAATAAGCAGTCCACGAGAATGCGGAATTTTTCCTGTAACCTGATTTTTCTAAGCGAATTAGTCTGGAATACAATAATGTAAAATATTGTATGTTAGAATGTAAAATATAAATATGTAAATACAATAATGTAAAAATAATAAATACATTAGGCATATAAGTATGTATAAAATAAACATTTGTAGTGAACTGTAACATATTAGAAAAAACACATGATAATCGATGTTATAATTATTTTAATGGATTTCGAAAAAGTGTCGCAAGCGTCTATAGGCTATAGTAACTCGGGCTGTATGCTTGCTTGCTACCTTCGTGGTATAAAAAAAAATTAAGGACAATTTGAAACAAAAAAATGCCTTATGAAAAGGAGTATTTTGTCAGTGTTTTATTAATTATCATTTTACAAATTTTGAATAATGTCGATATTTTCTTAAGGACAGTCTTAGATTATATAAATAGAATGTCTCTATAGAAATGCTTCGAAAAAAGCGAGTAAACTTTTTCATACATTTCTTTCTGCATAATAAATAGTCATAAGCGTTTCCTTTATAACTTATATATTTATTTTGTTTTATAATTTTTGCATCTTTTTAATGCATAACAACTCATTTTATTTTTTATATAATTAAATATAAATACGTCAAATTATATTATGTGCGTAAATATATAGAACACTGATAAAAAAACGAGTACAATAATTAATTTAAGAATTTGGTGACATAAACTTGACTCGTTTTTGAGTCTTGATGCTCTATCTATATAATTTAAGGATGTAATTTAAGGATGTGTAAGTATGTAAAACATGAATAGATACTTACTCAGAATAATCTTCAACTACTACCTTAGTTTTTAGATCGTACAAAGAGATGATTTGCTCGAATAATGAATTTATATCAGGTGCGATCAGTACTTCCAGTTTCGAATCCCTTGTTTCATAATAAGGTAATTCCTGGAAATGATGAAAACATATATAGCTTATATATAAAAATCTCGTGTCACGGTGTTTGTGGTCGCACTCCTCCGAAAGGGCTCGATTGATTTTTACCAAATTCTTTATGCATATTTAGTATGTATTATAATAAATAGGTCGTAATGTATATTTCATACCGCAAGGTGTTAAGGATATTTGTATGGCAGAACAATGTTTACCGAGTCAATTAGAAACATATATAAGTACTTTTAATTAAATAAGTAATTTCGACTGAGAAGATTTTTTTTTTATATAACTTAGAATGGCAATCAAGCTGACGGTCCACCTGATGGAAAGTGGTAACCGTCGCCTATAGACATGAGCAGTAGCATGGACATAACAGAGTATACTGTTTCGCCCATGATACCCCCCATGCGTTGCCATTCCTGAGGACTCAGGTGTTATTCCTTTGTACCCAGTAAATTCACGCCATATCCCACCCTTCAAACCGAAACACAGCTATGCAAACACAACTGCTTCACGGTTGAAACACGAATGGGACAGAGGTACCCAAGCAATCGACTTTTGTACAAAGTCTCCCTCTGGTAAAATAGTAAGTTTTCATTAGCTCCTGAAAACCGTCAGTGTTAATTCTTATCGAATTCGTCAGAATGGGCAAACTGGCCTACTTTCATCCTCACCTAACATCCTTAATTGGAGTCCCACCGGCGTATACCGATAGCACCGGTGGGGTTACCATTCCATTATCATCTATAAAAAAAATCCTCCTATCAGGTTTTTATTATATAAAAAATTTTTGCTTAACTATAACTCAGATCATGCTGTGAATATTCCAGTATGTAAGTATAACTATTCACTATAATACTTCTGTTTACAGCAATAAATACATCCCGCTTAAATAGATAATCAAGCAAACCTCTCTGTCAACGTTGACTGACACTGACATATCAACAGACTAAACCCTGCTAAACCACAAATCAATACAAATTCCACCCCTTGTTTATAGAGAAACAACATGTTTGAACTTGATATAGATACTATGTATTTAAATATACTTAATTATTGTTATTATATCCGGCGGTAAATGTCCATTGCTAAACATAGGCTTCCCTAAAAGGAGAGTTTTGCCAATAGTTGCCACGCTTGAAAACGGGTTGGGAATCGCAATTAGTCTTTGATAATATTTAAAGAGGAACGCTATTGCCCATCTCTGACCATTAAGTTCCCTTAGTCGCCTCTTACGACTTCTCACGGGTAAAGAAGGGATGCCCCTTCATTTGCATCCAAGTATTTATTTTTCTTTTCATGCAAGTATGAAAATTCAAATGAAGATTGTTTTAAATGTAAAGATATCAAGCAGTAACCTTTAATGATTATGATAAATAAGTATTATATCTTATGATTAACTAGTTTTTACTCGCGAACACGTTCGCATGAACGAGATAAAAAGTAGCTAACGTCTTTAATCTAAGCTTACGTCTTTGTCCATCTCAAAACATAGATATATATAATACTAGCTGACTCGGCAAACGTTGTTTTACCATATACATTATTTCTAGAACTATACATGAAAAATTTTACGTACTACAATTATTATATTCGATTGTCATCTTGCAAACCTATTGCGGCATATAAAAATCGCGATTAAAAAACAGGGGTTGATTGTAAAAACGTGAAAATTTTAATTATTGAAGTATGTATTTTTCAATGCTAAATCACAATAAAATAAAAACAAAAAAAAATTTCAAAAAAGTAAAAATAAATATTAAGGGGTGGGTCACCCTTATCATTGAGGGGTATGAAAAATAGATGTTGGCCGATTCTCAGACCTACCCAATATGCACACAAAATTTCATGAAAATCGGTAAAGCCGTTTCGGAGGAGTTTGGTAACAAACACCGCGACACGAGAATTTCATATATTAGAATATATATACATAATTTTCATAAAAATTTCATGATGGTATGTTAAATGGTTAAACTATGAACAAGTAATAAACAGAAAAAACTGATTTTCATAAGAAAAAAAAATGTTTCATTTTCGTGTCTAACATAAAAACTAAAAATTATTATAAATTTACTTACTACGAAATTTTTCAGTTTTTGCAATAAACTGTCTAAAATATCGTTACTGCCTTCCACTTCGTATAACTTATAATCCTTGTACGATTTATATTCGTAAATATTTTCTGCTAAATTAAATTTTATTAATGATAAACATATAAGTAAATATATTATCATCGTAACTGATTGCACAGTACTCTTGTAACTAGAGTAGCGTACCCGCAGGCGTAATATATATTCTACCATTCCATAGATAAAGAATTAAATGTTTTATTTATGATTTGTGATAAGAATTGTATTGGCAAATGAGTTAACTGTTTATTGGTTTTGATCACTCATCGAAAAAAGCTCATGGACATAACTAACATTGAATCACATGGGACACTCGTATTCTACGTCTTACTACGTTTATATGATATTGATACATAAATTTATTTGTTATTTAACCGCTTTATTCCATGAAAATGAACAGAAACATAAATTTACTGTTAAAAAATTAACTTTTAAGATCACCTGGCTTTAAATTAAAGAAAAAAAATAAATAAAGAAATCAAACCAGCTCGTCCCCTATACAGTAATAATTGTTATAATAAAAAAAGTAAATAATAATAATAAAATACGTTACAAGTACACACAAAATAAAACCCAAAGATGATGGTAATTACTACTATCATAACAATTGCATACACTTCAACAGAATTGACAAACATTAGCCATCTTGTTATTTTAGTTTATTATTTAGATAAATTTAATTATTTAATAAAATTCTAAATTGTGCTGTCGTCGGAGTGTTTGGAATCCTTTTTAGTTCTTTTCTGAACTTCTAAATTAGATATGTTTGCTCTTATAGAAAAAGTATTGTGATTTTGTTTAAAAAAGAACAAGTTTAATCATATCACGATTTGTATAGAATTGGCACGAGAGTAAACTTTTTCGATTAAAAAAAGAATCATAAATATGAAAAAACCATATGCCTATATACTTGATTTCTTTTTTTTGTGCCTCTACGTTACAAAATTCGAATATAAGTACCTAGGTATACCTGAAAAATATTCTTCTATTTCAGCAGCCGGTTAAAAGGTAATAAAATTTATTTTAATTTTGATTATTCAAACCTCTTTAAGTACGAATATAAATGGAGCACCATTAGCGGAGTTAGTCGGGAATTTAATACGAGTATTTTGGCATTGACCGGATTCGAACTTACCTACAAACATCGTGATATTGAACCACAAGATTCTCTCAATTAATATTCATAACTGAACTTTATTGGCAAACATAATTTTGCCAAATTCGCCAAACCTGAGTGCACGACTGTACTAATAAACATGTGGGTGAACATTCGAACAATGTTAAACAAATATGTTGATCTATTCGCAACTTATGTATGTACACCTATGTGTTTAGTTATCACTCGAGTGTTGACGTTAATTAGAAAATGATTACTTTGAAGTGGCCCATTCTATTTCAATGTTATACAATATTATACAGTTTATATTATTATGATATTACAAGAGTAATTTCTTGTACTATTTGAGGTGCCCTCTTTTATCAAGTGGTTCTAGGTCACCTTTGTTGTAGGTATAAGAATAATTCTGACATGACATATTGGATGGCGGCTTTACACGTGTGAAGTCTGTAAGATAATGTAGAAATTATAAGGCTTGGACTTATTTTAGGCTCCAGACAAAATCGATCCTTCTTCCCGATTGTGACAAGAATAGTAGAAGTTGCTGTATACCCGACATTATCTCAAATACTGTTTGGTAAATTTAATAACAAATGTTTTTTTTTTAATAGTTAAAAAATGAAATGGTCCACCTACCTATACTAAATTAAGGGATTGTGAGCAATGCAAACTACCAGTCCCAAACCAGTCTATATATATCCTGTCAGGTTGACATCCACGTGGTCCCCTGGAAAACATTTTATTAAATTCCAGGTGAATTCATTATGATGAATACACTGACTGACCTGCTTCTTTATTTTTACCTATCATCTCTCATTGGTGCCCCGCCAGAGTATATCATTAGTGCGAGCAGGGTTACCATTTCATTATCATCGATAAAAAAAACCTATACTAACGATATACCGGTATACTGTATAGGAAGGGGGGGGGGGGGGGTGGTACCAGGCGAGAATGAAATCAGATCAGATAATCGAATTTGCTTTTAAAAAAAGTCCATTAATCTTTTATGAAGAATTGTGACAGCAGTTCATCATCGTTTGATGATGATTAAACGATGATGATTAAACGATGATGATCGACCTTTTATTCTATCGTTACTTTATTGCTATTAATTATGAGTAGTATGTATTATGGTGTATGCAAGTATATTTATATGATATATTTTTGTGTATGTAAGTAATATTTGTATATTTTATTCACGTAAGCATATTTATTTGATCATAATGCGTAGTAGTTTTTTACTATATATCTATATAATTTGAGAGTCAATATAGATACGTATGTAATTCATTCGTCATTTACCTGCAACTATTTTAATTTTTTTTCTTTGCCTAATTAATTTTCTGTTTTGTCAAAAGTTGACTGGGAGAGAATGTTATTATTAGCATTAATTTCATCTTTTATACCATTTTTTTTGTAATGTACTAAATAAAGAATAAATAAATTCCTTCCCCCCCCCCTCCATAACAGTTGGTTAGGTCATTATAATCAATAAGAGCAAATTCAATTTTGATATTTACAAAATGAAAACATAATCATTAGCACCCAAATGTATACACTTACATTAATATGATTTACAATATCTCTAATAGGCAAAGATAAAATTCGAAGTGCCTCATTTCTATAAAGTTCTTACGATAAAAAATTTATAATATTTCTGTATTTTAGCATTCGATAAGTACGAATGTCTGCGGCAATGCCCAAATTGCGGCATTCTAACTTACAGCAGTTAACTGTCCCACAGAGGCCGTCGCGTAAACTTTTTTGGTTTGGGATTAAAGTCGACTCTTTATTGCACTCGCCAGCCCTGACAATACTCCTAAATTGCTGTCCCAAGCTCTTTCAATCTTCGGATTTTTTCCGCAAACATTTTATATATGCATGCCTGCTAACTTTTGTCCGTACTTTTAATTCTACTCTGAGATAAATGAGAGTATTATTTTTAATGTACGATAATGAAATGGTAACTCTGCTTGCCCTATCGGTATATGCTGGCGAGGTACCAGTGAACTATGATAGTTGGGGATTAAATTGAGTCAGTTAGCAATCACAAAAAATTCAATAAGATTTAATCACCATGGTTTCCAGAGGGAACTGTCTGGTGTCGACACCTAACCGACCTAACAGAACAGACTTAACAGAGTATATTCCTTATAATTTATTTATATATAGGATCACCAACACAAGATACAGCGAAACATTTCAATACAGTATACTAGTGGTTTAGGGCTAACTGTTTTTACATTTAGAGTCAACCACAGCATGCTACATTTGAGAACCATTAACACTAATAGGGCTGGTCCCATTACTAACAATTATTTTTTCAATTCCCTCCAATAAATAAAAGTAATGTTGCATCGTGTTATTTCTTCATACTAAAATTGATTAAAATCCCACTACTGGGGACGGGATCCTGCTTGAAAGAAAAGGATAATCGCTTAATATAACTATGGATGGATGGCTTGTTATATATTTTAATTTCCATTTGTACTTCTCTTTTTTATATCTTGATTTTAAAATCGAACTACTAAACTAATTTTGATAATATTTCTATTAGACTAATCTGAAATTAATCTGAAACTTGCCGTGTGGTCCCGGCGTAGTATAGACTACCCCTTCCTTTCCCGTTTCCGCGACTAAAGTAGTAAAATAATTCAGAGATGGGCAGCAGCATCCATCTTAAAACATCATCAAAGTCTAACGGCGTTTGCCAATCTGCTTGCCAAGCATGGCAACTACTGGCAAACCCCCAACGGGGGAGACCTATGTTCAATAGTGGACAGTTAACGGCCGATATGGTAATCTAAAAGTATTTTCTTTCAGATAAAAATCCAATCAATTTATAAATGACGGAGTTCTGATGTAATAAAGGTAAAATAAAACCGAATTTAGAACTACCTCCTTTTTTTGAACTTGGTTAAAAATACATACCTATATAACTTATAACGTTCAAGGTACAAGAGTTCTTTAATACTAAAGGTCTAAACGTTTTACCTTAAAATTTATAGCTTCTAGTTCAGGTTTCCTATAAAATCGGCATCGGCTGTCGCCAATAAAAAATGTAATAACCGAAATTGGTCGAGGTTAATGGAGCATGAGTGATAAATGTCATCTAGCTTTGAGTTTGAAAGCGATTAAAACTGATATAACTATTTATTCCGCCAGAAATAGAGGTTTAAGGATCCTGATATAAGATCCGGGACTTGCTTCAATTTATATACTGAAAAAATCGCTTGATTGAACAATTTAATAAATCGCTATTTACTATTTTCAGTAAATAGTAAATAGTACGGTATAGTTTTGGATGGAAAGTAAACAAAATTAACAGAACTCGTTTAGGAATCATGACCAATAAGATTTTAATACTTACAAAAGTAGCTAAACGTTTAGCAAAAATTTTTTCTATAGATAGAGCTATTTACAAACTTCTGAATAATAATTTATAAAAAAAAATTATAGCAAATAAAAATATATTATCTGGCCACTTCTGAACATAGGCCTCACCATAGATTACCATAAGAACGGTTCTGAACCACCGGCATCCATTGACTCCCTGCGATGCATTTGAGGACCTCATTACATCTAGTGGGAAGTCGTTTTAAACTGCGTTTAACCATACGGGGTCTCAACTCAAAAACTTTCTTCCCGTTGTTTGTCGGTTCTTCGACCTTTGTGATAAGCCCGTTGCCACTTCAGCTTGCTCATCCTTTGGGCTACGTCATTGACTTTGCTTCTTTTGCGGATATTCTCAATCATGATTTAAGATACTAATTTTTGTAATAGTTCACAAAATTATTTAATTACGAAATCCACCTAAAGTTAAACGAGTAGTTTAAATGTACTTACTCATAAGACATAATCCCATTTGAAGTTAGGTATTTATTTTTAAAAATTATGCAAGTAAATAAATAGAAAAAGTATCGTATTAGCTAAAAGTATTAGATATCACATGAATATAATAAAATTGTAACTACACGATGTCTGTTCATTCATATATTTAAGGAAAAATTATGCGAAGAGCCTTAATAAAACCAATAGAGG